TTTGAACTATAATCTTCTGTCAGTCACCCAAATAACCACCGTCTTATTTTGTGTTGTCATTTTTTGGCCTGACTTTTGTTTGTTTAAGGACATTCAAACAAGGCAGATAATTGGTTGTGGTATTAAGCGAGAGAAGTTGTATTACCTGGACTTGGAGTCAAACAGTTCAAATAAATTGTTTCAAGCTTTGATAGTGGATGGTTCTTAAGGGGAGAAGGAAAAATTTGACATTCGATTATGGCATCGACATATGGGACATGTTTCTTTTGGTTACTTGCAGAAATTATTTCCTAGTTTGTTTGCAAAATTTAATGTTTCAAGTTTTCATTATGATGCTTGTAAACTTGCAAAGAGCCATCGTGCTTCATTTCCATTAAGCTTGAATAGAAGTCCAGTTCCATTCATGATCCTACATTCTGATGTTTGAGGTCCATCCCATGTCCCTACCTTGGGTGAATCACTTTGGTTTGTTACTTTTATTGACGATTGTACCAAGGTAACTTGGGTGTGCTTGATGAAGTCCAAAGGCGAAGTGAACTTACTCTTTCGACAATTTCATAAATGATTTGTACTCAGTACAACACATAAATTCAAGATCTCTGCAGTGACAATGGGAGAGAATATATGAGTTCTGAATTTTAATAGTATTTAAAAGCTTATGAAATTATTCACCAAACTACCTGTCTTAATACACCCCAGCAAAATGGGGGTGGCTGAGCGAAAAAATCATCACATTTTGGAGGTTGTTCGTGCTACATTGATAGAAGCTCATATGCCATTATACTAGTGGGGAGAAGCACTTATCTATGCCGCACATTTAATCAATCGGGTACCGTCCAGTGCTATTGCTTTCAAAACACCATCCCAAGCTCTCGCTGAAGCTTTTGTTTCCCCCACCTAGTCCAAACTTATCGCCTCACATCTTTGGGTGTGTAGCATTCTTACACCTTCATAAACATCAACATAATAAGTTGCAACCTCAAGCATTGAGATGTGTCTCTCTTGGGTATGCTACTCATCAAAAAAGGTATAGCTGTTATATCCTTCAACTCAAAGAATGTTTATTACATTGGATGTAGTTTTTCATGAAGATTCCATGTATTTTTCCTTCGAATCTAAACTTCAGGGGGAATACCAGGAAGAAGTTCAGACTTTAGACTATGATGTTCATGTTCCTATAGATGTTCCATCTAGTAGCTAAGATATGGGTAACTTGGATACAAGTATAAATTTGGATGCTAGTGGTGATGATGATTTACAAACTGGGCCAATCAATCAAGAAGTGAGCGAATTGGTTTTTAATAAATTTAGATCAAAGTGGTGATGCACAAGTAGAAACTGAAGTGGTAGCTCCACCTTTGCCCCGAGTCCCTTGCACCACGAAAAACTAATACACCAAACAATCGCTTGTTGATGATGTTCCTTATTTTGTGTTCGAACCTGTTAGAAAATATCACACCAGAGGTATCGCTAAACCCACGTATGAACCCGAGCTTACTAGTAAAGTTAAATATCTCATGAGTCATTATGTGTCTAACCATCATCTGTTTGAATTAAATAAGTCATTTGTAAGTCAATTATCTACTGTATCTATTCCTAAAAACGTGCAGGAAGCATTAGCCAACCCGAGGTCGAGAGCTGCCCTGAATGATAAGATAAAATCCTTGCTAAAAAATAAAACTTGAGAACTTGTTGATTGTCCACCGGAAAGAAACCAGTTGGATGTCGGTGAAATTTTTTCTATGAAGTACAAAGCAGATGGTACAATTGAACGCTTTAAAGTGAGACTAGTGATAAAAGAATACACCCAAACCTATGGGGTCAACTATACAGAGATTTGCACCTGTAGCTAAAATTAACACAATCTGCATCTTTTTGTCTCTAGCTATGAACTTGGATTGACCATTACAACAATTTGATGCGAAGAACACCTTTCTACACGGTGAGTTATCTGAATAAGTCTATATAGATCTCCCACCAGGATGCTTGATACCAGAAATACATAGTTAGAAGGTATGCAGATTAAAGAAATCATTGTATGGGTTGAAACAATCTCCAAGAGCATGGTTTGAACGGTTCACAAAGTCTATGAGAGATTTTGGCTACCATTAGAGCAACTCAGACCACACCTTATTCCTGAAGAAATGACGGGATAAGATCATTGCACTTATTGTACATGTATTTGACATGGTGGTCACAGAAGAAAGAAAGAATTTGCAAAGTTACTTGTCCAGGGAATTTGAAATGAAAGACCTTGGTTCCTTCAAATTTTTCTTTGGAATTGAAGTGTGTCGATCTGATAAAGGTATCTTTCTTTCTCAAAAAAAATATACCTTAGATTTGTTACAAGAAACTAGTATGTCAGCATGTCAACTAGCTAACACACCAATAGAAGAAGGTTCAAAGTCATGTGTTGAGACTAATCAAGTACCAGTTGATGAAGGAAATAACAGAGACTTGTAGGAAGATTGATATACTTAGCTCACACTATAACGGATCTTGCCTATGCATTGAGTATTGTGATCCAGTTTACGCATGAACGCAATTATGCGCATTTTGAGGTATCTGAAGGCTGCTCCTGGTAAGGGAATTTTATTCACTAAAAATGTAGAATATCAAAGTGTAGATGCATATATTGATGCTGATTGGGCTAGAGCAGTAGATAAACAATCTACTTCAGGATATTTCACCTTTGTAGGTGGTAACCTTGTTACGTGGAGAAGCAAAAAACAAAATGTTGTTGCACGTTCAAGTGCATAAGCTGAATTGAAAGTATGGCACTTGGAATGTGTGAAGCATTATGGCCAAGACTTCTCTTAAGGGATTTGGGCTATCCGCTAAGGCAACCAATTCGATTATATTGTGACAATAAAGCAGCATGTGATGTTACTCACAACCCAATTCAGCATGATAGTACAAAGCATGTAGAGATAGACAGATTCTTCATTAAGGAGAAATTGGATGAGAACATAGTGGAGTTGCCTAAGATTCGATCAAAGGATCAATTGGCCATATACTCACCAAAGTAGTGTCAAATCGAGTGCTCCCAAAGTTTTTGGGCAAGTTGGGCATGTGTGATATCTATGCACCAACTTGAGATGTAGTGTTGAAATATTGAGGAATGATTCATTCTTTCCTTTTTTTTTTCTGAAGGCATTGTAGTAGTACATTAGGTGTGTACAGATTCATCATTCATAAATCTTGATTGTAGGGGAAATAACTTGATTGTAGGATCGACACTAGTGATCCATTGTTATAAATCTCAGCGTACAGAATCATTCACATATGAATATAAGAAAATATTCTTCCTAAAATCTGATTTCAAGTAAAGAGAGTCCAACTATAGAAGAAACTCCAAAGAAAAATAAGGAACCTAAGAAACGTATTAAACTGGAAGAATAACAAAATGTTTGAAGAAACTCACCCGATAGTATTTAAGATCTGCAAAAACTAGCAGAAAGTTGATAAAATTAATAAAAATTCAACAGCCAATATAATTTACTAAACAATGTTTTTGGTATCCATGGACTTCTGCTAAGAGTTATTGCCCATTTGACATGACTTTTGTTGCCGGTAGAAGAGCTTTTACAGGAAACTACCTTAATTTTTGTTTGAAAATTAATTTTTAAAAGAACTTTCTATTCTAGAAGTGCTTTTAGAGGAAACCATAATGGACCATCTTCCTGTAAAAGTCTTTCTAACTAAAAGAAGCACTTTCACAAAATTAGTCGAATGGATCCAAAAGCAATTTTTGGGTTTCAAACTCCTTTTGCCTTTTCAAAAGCCGTGCCGAACGAACCCTTATACCTAATTGCAATGAGGCGTAGCAGCTTCTTTTGATCTGTATTTTAAGTTGTTACAAAACGCTTCTAAAATCATATTGAAATCAGCTCAAATGAAATAGACGTCTGTCAGCCATGTTCATCCATATAAGCAATAGTGCAAATATCAATTGACTGCATAAAAAATTGAATGCCACAGAATTTCACATGACAAAAGCAATATTCATCAACCAAATAAGCTGATAGTAATAACAAATTGAGGTTCCACAAAATGAAATAGCAAATATAACTGTCAGTTAAAAGCACCAAATCCATTGAGCATTGTAATTTCTAATGATAAAAACCATAAAAATGTATTCACTTACCTCCAAATTATAATCAGGAAAATGAGGAGAAATGAAGCTTCAGTTACAAAACTCACTGATATGGGAATATCAATTTGGTCACTGAAGAACCAAGCTATTTACATATTGCAAAGTCTAAATTAAGTTAATAAACCTATTAATGGAAACAACTTTCAGGACTCAAAAGCAGTATTTCCAAATTTCTCTTTACTACCTAAAATCATAAAAGTTATGTCTCTTCATCACACAGTAAACAGTTTTCACCGAAAGGAGGAATGTAAACAACAAATTCATAGAATAACTCAATACAAACACACATGAACCACTAATCATTAATAAAGAAATCAGTGGACCATCCAAATTCAGATAGTCTAGTGTACCACCAATTCCACGTAGCAAAGCCAATTAAAATGGTAAAAATAAAACGAAAAAAAATCAATTAGTATAAAACACCAAATTAGATCCACAAATTGAAAGCAAAATCCAGCAATTATAGGAAGAGGGGAGTAGACTTACGAGAATGTTAAAGGCCCCTGCCCATTTATACAACTATAACCACAACTAACAAATTCTATACGTGTTTATCTTTCTTGATTCTATCCAGTATGTACCAATTAGTTGTTAATAAGCACGAGTTCAACATATAAAGAGACTCCATGTCTTCTATTTATGTTTTTTTTTTTAATAGAGAACATGAAATAATATACATTCCAGTATCATGTATCATACAAGGTGATATTCCCAAATAAAACTATAAAGAAGTGCCTATACAAGAGCCTCTAAAAATATAAACAAATAAAAAATCTAATTTCCACATGCAATATTTGTGCGAAATGTCTTCACCTATCTACGGATTCAAAATTTGTCTCTCGTGTTAGGGTCCATCATCTCCATCTCCAATTAAGTTGCATATATCAGAGCACTCCGATAAACTACAAAAAAATTAGCTCAATTTAACAAAAAATTAGCAATGATTTACACACTTTACAATATCTATTCTCAAGTGCACCAATCAGAGCAAAGCTTCTCTTAGTTGTGTTCAAAATGAGCTATTGATTCAGGAATACATTATAGTATTAAAGGAAACAATGTTTCTGTGGATGTGAAAAGAAATCTGTAAGGTGCTAAAAGAACAAGGAATTTTCAAGATCCACTCATGTAAACAAAAATACTCTACTTTAACTTTATGAGAAGGAAAGCATAATGCACAATTAAAATGCATCCACTGTGCAACTTTTTATCTACCTTTGGATAAAAAGAACATAAAAAACAGATGAAATTGCATTTAACACGCACAAAATGTCCATCATCAATGGCTGTTCATGAGAAAATACCAGCTATATGTTTCTAGTCAACAAAATGCATTGTGTAACTGTGTTGGCTCATTTGTTAGGGAGGATTGGATTGTGTACAAAGCATGCATTATATTTATTGATATAAACTTAGGTTTAGCTATGCTGAACTTATACAACGGAGATTATAACGATTTCAGAGCTATGCTACTTTAACAACATTATTTCCCTGAATTATATACTAACAATTCAACATTTACAAAGTGCTCTTAAAACAACATGTAGATATCTTTGTATTGGCCTTTGAATTTCAATTGTGGCAGCGGCCANGAAATCCAACCCAACCCAACCCATGTAAACGTTGAAACCCAACCCAACACAACCCAATTATGTGTCAGGCGGGTTAGGTTGGGGTGGTCGGGTTGAATCATAAATTCCAATTTTTTTGACACATATGTTGGAATTAGAAAGACTAAATTTGATACCCTTCAGTTATATTATATACCTGATTATAAGTTTGTACTGACACTTGCTTTGATAATACACATAATGGACACAAAGGTATATATTAATGTAATGTACGTCAAATAAAAGAAAAGGAAGAGATTTTACCAATATTGACGACTTCGGAACCCATCCTTGAAGACAACTAGAGGTCTGTGTGTAAAAAGAACATTCAACATTATTGTTCAACATTATAGGTGTTAAAATATATGCATTTCAAAAAGCTCCTTTCCTCTATGTGCATTGTGTAATCTAAAAATATATTGTAGGAAATAATATGTGCAATTGCAAAATGAATTTGTACAGCTTATCCAACAAAAAATGGGGAACAAAATCAGTTTCATAAACTTAAAGTAACAAACATATTTCCAGCATAATGTTAACAGCAGCAGATTTTGAGAATCAAAATGTAAGCGTTCATCATAAATTAGTTGATGTTAAGCCGAGAAATTGTGCAAATCCATGTAGATGTTCATCATAAATTAGTTAATTTTCGATATTAAATTAATTTTAATTACCTCCTAATATTGAGAGGTCCTTCACCGGGGGATCCAAATCCACCCAAAATGCAAGTAGATACACATTTACTAGTACACTTCTCAGCTTTCTTAGATTTCGGCCGTTGGATTCTCACCTTCTTCTTGCAATCCTTCTGTTCAGGAGTACATACACTCGATAATGTTTGTGGTATATTCGACAGAGTCTCCTCCGGTTGTTGAGGCGCCGCCGCCTCAATTGCACCCGCCCCAACCACCACAGAAAACACGATTGTGGCAGCGGCCGCCGTTGTTGCAGCTACACTGATCCGATGACCATTGGTGATGCGTGCGGAGATAGAATTGTATCTATTTCGACATAGTATCGAGCATCCGCTGTAAGTTCCGCCATAGATTAGCATTCTTTTGAAGAATTTTTTAAAGCTTTTTCCAGTTTTCTTTTTCCACTGTTTTTATCCAAATTCCAAAGCCCTTTTCTTTCGTGAATTTCAGCCCCACGCTTTGTTAGGGACTTCTCTTAATACGTGTACGGTTGGATTGATCATATTACATCATAACCGTTCGCTTCATTTACTGCAATTGCATTTATTTTTATTTATTTTGTTTTTTACGTTTTCGATAGCTTTCTCAGCCATGTTTGAGTGCCATTTTTTTAAATGCATTCTTGAATAGTGTTTTGATCAATTTCAACCACACATATTTAATAAAATAGTATTACACACAAATTCAAATATTTTCCTTATTTTTAACCACACATTTTTCATCAATACACCATTTAAAAATGCATTTTTCTGACAAAATGGGGCACAAACAAGCCCTTATACTTTAAAAAATAGGAAAAATTGCAGCGAAGGTCCCTAACATTTCATTTTTCTAGACTTTACCTTAACTTTCAATTTGTGACAACGAAAAATCCAAATCTTTAAAAAATTAGCAATGGGGTCCAAGCAGATGAAACCATCTATTTGATCGTTAGTTAACAAAAAAAGTAATTTTAATCAATTTTGACCAAATTAAAAATGTGTAAAATGCTAACTTTAGAATTACCACATTAAATAAATCAAAAAACAAAAAAATCAGAATAAATAAATAAATAAAATCAAAACCCCTGAACAACCATCATCTTCCCCACCCCAAATCAAATGAAAACCAAAAACCTACCACCAATCTTCTTTGCTTATACATACATAGGCACTAACCGAATCACTCACCCCACCCATACCAACCCTCTCAAGAAAGTAGGTAACCTAACTCAAAATTTCGATTAAAATTCAAAATATTATGAGGCGATGACAGTCGTGCACCGATGGCCGTCGGAGCTGGAAGTATCAAATGGGCGGCCAGTGGTTGGATGTATAATTGAAATGGTAGCGTTAGCGACGAGTTTTCTAGTAATAGTGCTGAAGGTAAGTGTGTCTTGTTATTATTGTGATAGATTTTTGTGAAACGGCAATGCAAGAGCTAAAAGATTTCTAGACAGAGTACCCCTTTGGGGCTTGTCGAAGAGGAGATATGTCTCAATATACTTAAGGGGTTTTTAAGAGTTTGCTCTATTGGGAAAACTTGTTACCGTCATAATAATCGTTCATGTTGGATCACCAAAAATAAGTAAATCGAAGTGGAAGCATACCTGGATCAAACATGATTAATGCATTGATTGAGTCATGTGGTTTTAGTCTTCAAGATCAACACATTGTTCCTTTATTTTTCTCTGATGATAGGAGTCAGAACGGAATGAACAGTTTGTATGATCTGGGGACCATGACCATAAATATATACACTAACGGCCCATTAACCCAATCCGGCCCATCATGAAATTAGGAACATGCATGGTCTCTACACATAAAAGCTTACACTTTAATTAGATGCTTCAAAATCCAAAATATCGATACCTAATTAGATAACTTTAAATGGGTTTAACCAAAATTAATAGTTTTTAATTTAATACACAATATTTCACATATAAGCTCACTTGTTTGATTAAAATTCTTAAAATCTCCCACTGGGCTATATGTGTTACCTTATAATTGTGCATTAAATATAACCTTATGAGTACTCAGAATTTTGCTATCATTACCGAATACATCCTTAAACAATCCAGTCCATCAATCATATCAACATTGGATCAAAGCGGCTTTCGCTACTAATATCGTACTAAACCCATCAATGGTCACGTATATCAACATAACTGAATGATATTAATCAAGCATAGATGTGTAACATGGAAATTATATGTGATGTGATCTTAACATGCTTATTTCCAACCGGTCCACTTTAATACCTTAGTGAAATCATTTTCAAAAAAGTTCAAAGATAACAAACTAAGATTTTATAGCAAAAAATAACTTTAATCATAAACCATATCCAAAATGACAATACATGTGTCTAAAATGAAAAGCATAGAAATACAAACTCTCACTAAAACTAGATATCCTCAAGAGATATTACACCCATATGAGCAGTGCACTCATGAAAGATCTTGGGCATCAATCCCTTCATAAGCGGATCCGCAGCCATGAAGTTTGTCCTGATATGCTCTATTAACACATGTCCACTATGAACTCTTTCTTTAATAGCCGGAACTTGATCTCTATATGTTTTGACTTCATCGAGCTCCTGTTATTATTAGAATACAACACTGTTGATTTACTGTCACAAAATAAATTGAGTGGTCTTTCTATACTATCCATAATTTGCAGCACAATGGCAAAATTTCGAAGCCATATTCTATGGTTTGATGCCTCATAACATGCTACAAACTTTGCTGCCATGGTGGAAGTGACGATGAGTGTCTGCTTAGCACTCTTTTAGGAAACAACACCTTTAACAAGCAGGTAGATATAGTTTGAAGTGGATCTCCTACTATTTTGACATCCCATGAAATCGAAATCAGAATAACCGATGATCTCCAACTTATCTGATCTCCTGTATGTGAGCATGTAATCTTTTGTTGTTTATAAATACCGCATGACCCGTTTTGCTGCTTTCCAATGATTTATTCCCGAGTTACTTAAATATCTCCCTAACATCCCTACAATGTATGCTATATTAGGACGTGTACAAACCTGAGCATACATCAGACTTCCTATATCTGAAGAATAAGGAATTTTCTGCATTATAGATGAAGAATAAGGAATTTTCTGCATTTCTTTAATTTTCAAGTCATTTTTTGGGCATTGATTTAATCTGAACTTGTCACAAGAGTGTCACCTGGTTTACAATCTTGCATGCCATATCGTTTAAGTACATTTTCAAGATATCTCTTTTGTGATAATTCAAGAATACCCAAAGAAAGATCCCGATGTATCTAAGTTCCTAATACAATAGAGGAATCACTAAGATCTTTCATCTCAAAATTCCTTGCTAGAAATCTCTTGGTTTCGTGCAATAAGCCTATACAGTTGCGGCAAGCAATATATTATTGACATATAAAATCAGAAAAATATAATTACTTTCACTGAACTTGTGGTATATACAATCATCGACCAAATTTATCTCAAAATCATATAAGATCACTTGATGAAACTTGTAATAACTTTGACGAGAGGCCTATTTGAGTCCATAGATGGATTTATTTAGTTTACAAACCATCTACTTTACATCATCAGACACAAAGTTTTCTGATTGTACCATATAAATTGTTTTATCAATGTCACTATTGAGAAACGTTATTTTAACATCCATATGATGTAAATCAAGATCGAAATGCGCTACCAATGCCATTATAATCTTGAAAGGGTCTTTCGAAGAAATCAGAGAGAAAGTTTCTTTATAATCGATCCATTCTTTTTGTGTAAAGCCCTTTGCGACAAGACAAGCTTTATACATTTCTACATTACCCTTCAAATCTCTCTTAGTCTTAAATATCTATTTGCAACCAATAGTTTCGCACCTTCTGACAATGGAAATAGGTCCCACATGTCGTTTTCCTTCATGAATTTTATCTCTTCATTAATGTCATTGAGTCACTTTTAAGAGTTAGAAATTTCAGTTGCTTGACGAAAGTTGATTGGATCATCTTCCACTACTCCAATGTCAACTTCATGTTCTTGGAGAAATACAATGTAATCATTCGAAAATGCATTTCTTCTCTCTCTACTAGATCTTCTTAATGACATTGGTTCTTGAGGGTGTAAAGTTTGTTCATCTGGAACAAATTGTTGACCTTGAGAGAGAGATACAACGACATTTTCTTGATCCGAAGTTGCTTCTTGAACAATGTCAGGGATAAAAGCCTGATCCTGATCATTGTCAATGGCAATTGGAGGAATTTCAACGTATTCCTCTTCAAAGACAAAGTCTATAACCCTTCTTCTCCCGCAAACTCAACATTCTCAAAGAACCGAGCATTATCTTAGTTGTGGGATCATAAAACTTGTAACCCTAGACCTTTCAGAATATCCAATAAAATAGCAACTGATAGTCCTTGCATCCAGTTTCCTTTCATTTGGCCTATAAGGCCTTGCCTCAGTTGGATATCCCCAAATGTGTACGTGCTTCAAACTAGGCATCTTGCTCATCCAAAGCTCATAAGAGATTTTATCAGTAGCCTTAGTGGGAACTTTGTTGAGTATATACGCTGCGGTCTTTAATGCTTCACCCCAGAGTGATTTTGGTAAGGTAGAATGAGTAATCATACTCCTCACCATGTCCTTAAGCGTTCTATTTCGTCTTTTAGCAACATCATTCATAGTGGACGAACCTAACATAGTGTACTATGGGACGATACCGTATTCTTCAATAAATTTAGCAAACGATCCTGGACGTTGTTCACCTGAATCGTCATATCTGCTATAGTATTCACCACGGTCAGATCTGACGCTTTTAATCTTTTTGTCGAGTTGGTTTTCAATTTCAACTTTATAGTTTTTGAACACATCTAGCGACTATTTTTTTATGAATGAGATATATATAGTTATATGTTGAAAATTAGTCTATGAATATTATAAAATATTGTTGACCATTCCAAGAAACTGTCGGGAATGATCTACAAATGCCCGTATGTATAAGTTCTAAGACGTCTAAAGTCCAATTGGTTTGAAATCTCCTTTTATTGGTTTGTTTTCCCTTGTACAATTAACACACATCTCATAATCTGTAAAGTCAAGGGGATCGAGAATTCCGTTAAGACACAAGTCTTTCAATTCTCCTTGTGGAGATGTGACATAATCTTTTGTGCCACAACGAGGTAGAATTCTCATGATTAATTATCACTTTACACCTCGAGTACTTACATGCAAGAATTTATTAAAAGAAGCAATCATATCAATTAAATAAAGATTATTATAACCTGATAAAGAATCGGAACTAACAAATTTTGAATCATGAAACAAACTAAATTTTACATTTTCGAATGAATAAGAATAACTAGATTTATCCAAAGTAGAAATGGAAATAAAAT